GATACAAGCACCTGAGACAGTTGTGCAGAGTCATCTGATTCTGGGTGGAGGAGGAGCTACAAAAACCAGTTATTTCAGGTAAGCAAGATACTGGACAATTATGTTGCAAGAATTGATATGAAGATGTACCTGTTTTCTTATGAAACTTGGCAAGAATTCAAACAATGCAGACGCCCAAGGTGATAGTTGAGAGGATATGCTATCAACAGAGACGCCTTGCCTGAGCAAACCATGGATTTCCTGGGAGGTGGAAAATTTTTTATACAAAGGGGCTGATCAAAATGCTGAATACATGCCCAATGAAGGATTAGGTAAAATTCAACCTTCCAATATCATTTCTTTTGGATAGGGATTAATATAGTCACCAATTTATCCATATTTATACTGAGAAAGAGTACATATAGGTAATTAGGTATTAAAACACCAATCAAGTGCAAAATGAGTACTTAAGTCCATTATATACCTGCAATAAAGCATATATTTCAGGAATGCTTTCAATAAGACCCTCTGGCAATAGGATAACACCATGGTACTTCTCTGTACCAAAGAACGAGGTTAGGGTCATGATGGTAGTTCAATCAGAATAATAACCAGAGTATTCAAAGGATTATACCATGTTCAGCCCTAGCCTGCACTGCATCACATATTTGCTTTGTGATGTCAAAAAGTGTGAGCTTTGATGCAGCCACCTCTTCAGCAAGAATAACCTGCAAGAGTGCTTGGGATTTTCTAAACGGAAGACAAAAAGCCAGGCCATTCTAACAAAAATATCATGTCAAAATTATAATGTTAAATGATAGAGATTCACAGACCATATTAGGATGCGATTGGAGAGTGCACTCCAGGGCAACATGTGATGCCTTTCGACCCATGAGTCGGATAAAATAATAATACTGAAACAAAAAGGAAAGGAGAAAATAGGAGAAATAAGAGAGATTATATAGGTAAGACATAGACTAACAACATGGAAACTAAATTTCTTGCGGGTAAAACATTTCAAGACTGAAATATTGATAACTTCCTTGATCCTTCATAAAATAGTCAACCAACTATTCTATATATATAATAAGGAACATGCATAGGACTCTTGAAGGAAACCGCAAAAAGGGGAGGAAACAAAAGCTCACTAATTGAGTCATTTACCTTCTCTGCGGATAGTGCATCAGTGCAGACATTGCTAATAAGCTGGGAATTAACCTAAAATAAGTGGAAGAAACAAGATTAGCTTTCTTCGCAAGTTCATTTGTAATAGAAAAGTTTCAAAACCATTCTTCAATCCTTCCAATTTAAACAAAAGAAGAATAGAAAGTTGAGAAGAGATTAGGACCAGAAAATTGATACCTTACATATCGTGTCAAAACCAACATTGGTCTCAACAAACTGGTTCTTTAGATCTCCATTTAAAGTAACAGGTACACCAACCACCTGAGAAATTTAGACAATCACTGGTTTATCAATAACACATTCCAGATGGAAGCATCAAAACGCTAAAGATAGCATTCTGGTAAAAAGGCACTCACACCTTAAATATGATATTTATTGCTTACAATTAGTAGTACATCGGATTAACCACAAATGTTGCAAGCATGATGTACCTTTGTTGGGCATTTCCTTTCTGCAAAGGTTTCTGCAAGCTGAGCAGCATCTGTATTTGATGTCACACCTTCAAAAGCACAACATAAGCAAGTCATAAAAAATGAAACAGAGAACCTTGATAATCATGAACCGTCATAAATACCATCACCGATACCTCCAATAATCACAAGCCCATCCAACTTCAAACTTGTGCAGGCATTGAGTGCCGCGTTAACTTGCTCAGTTGTTCTAATTTGATCTTTTGTCCTTCCAAGTAAATCATAACCGCCTTCAAACAGATAAGTTTAATTACTGATATTATTTAAATTATGAAAATAAATATATATTTCATCTTTGCCTGTAATCCAATCATACCTTGATTTTTGTAGGTTGCAAGGATGTCATCAGTGACCTCTAAAGTTTTCTGAGCAAATAAACCATCAGAACCACCTGATAACACGTATAAGAATTTTAAAATGCTGATCTTTTTTGAAAGAACATCAATCATCTACCCAAGAGAAGTGACCAATGTTCATGCAAATATCCAACTGTTTAAAACAACATAATGTAACAGAAAACAATTAATTGTAAGGAATCACAGAACAGACTCCTCCACCAGACAAAGTACAACCAGAAAACACAAACTTTGTAGAATTAGGTTAAGGATATTTGATGCATGCATAAGGTTTCAAGCATAAAATGTATATCGGATAATAAAGAAGAGTGGATCATTACCCAAAAATCCAAGCAAAGTGCTATTGGGATTGTGAACTTTTAGAGCGTCGAGGAGACCCCAAATGACGTTATGTCCTCCGGGAGATTGTCTTCCACAAAATACAACTCCCACTCTGAGTAGGAAGAAGTGTGAGCACATAAAAATTTCTAAATTTGCAGATATCGAATTTAATAGCACTCTTTATAAAAGTAAAGTCAGACTCAAACCCTTGCCAACCATAATTTGAGGTGCAAACATCACTTGATATCAAATTTTGATATCACCAATTAGTTCCATGAACAGGAAGTGATAGTAATGTATAGTAATAATCATATGCCTACCTGATTGCTGGGTGTTCAGTGATTATGCGGGCATCAGGGACCTTGGCAGTTTCCCTCATAAAGTGTGCTAAAGGTTGACCATAAGTGTGGGGAAATGACCTACTTATTGTATGGGCACCTGAGGGGTCTGC